CCGTTCTCAAGTATTCCTGCAAGTGCTAGCTAGATTAGATCGGTCAATTCTCGATAATATTTATAAATATATCTTCGAACATCCTCGCTTCTGACTTTTGATTTCATTGGGTGGGCACGATTCAATGATAGGAGGTGTTACTGATTAAAGTGTTGTCAAACTGCAAATACTTGTGGCATCTTCATTGATGAACCGACGTTATCTTGTACACCAACTCGCAAACTGTGAGTCTGTTCCTCTTGAGAACTTCGTATATCATTGCTTTATTTTAATTTATATGTATTGTAATATTGTAATATTGTTTCCCTTCATTCATTCCTGTACTTCATATTCGCCATGACAGAACAGACTGCTAATGTACTCAAGGTCAATTCTATGACACCGACCTCATTTCAGCTAATGCCATGCTGGCCGGACAACGTCGAAGCCTGGTTGTGCTACGCAGAGACTGACTTCTACGAGCGCAGCGTGACTGATCCATGTGCACAATTTCTCGCGGCAATGAAGGCACTACCACGGAAATTCAACAGATTCGTCACATACAGTATGCTTACTTGTGATATTTCGGAAACTTATGAAACTCTGAGACGGTCTATTGTGAAATGAGGAGATCTAACCGGCCGACAAGTGTTAGATCAACTCGTCAACAACATCGATCTGCAACATAGCTCAGCGACGAACATATTGTTACGAATGCAAGAGATAATTGGTTAAATGACTTTTTCCTGTTTAGAAAACTTTCCTTGTCTAAACTTCCTCAACAGATGCATGTAGTGCTTGTCCCGTTTCAGAAGAAAGCCATAGACGATCTGGCTTTATCTGCCGACCATATTATCGAGATCGACAAATCTTATAACGCCGAGTATTTCGCAGTGAAAGAAAAACCTCGAACGACACGAATTGAAACTACGGAAATTTGTCATACACTGAAACGTTCGTACTCTTAATGACCGTAAAAGATCACAAACCCGTCCAAGGAGTGTTCAACGAAAACGATTGGTTGGCGTATATTTTGGAGGGAGGACTAAAATGTTTATTTGCTTTCAGTTCTGTTTCTTCTCTCAGTGCTTCCCCTTTTCGAGTACCGTCAATTTCTGCAGATAAATCAAATAAGTCGATGTGGTAAACATATTTGTTCATTTTTCTACATCCATATGATTGATGGAATTCCTAGAGTGTAGTTCATACAAATGTACTAATAAAAGTGAGCCATGCTATCGATTAGTCAGTGTACGAATTATTAGAAACTGAAGGTCAAATCCATCATGTTAATAATCAAGTAGGTACAATGAAGGTTATTGTGAATCAAAATAAGATTTGAGTAAATAGTTATTATAGACTTAAATAAGATATGTGTCTGTGAATTTGTAGCACATATGTTTTCATTATTCAATATTTGTGCAGTGCCAATCACTCTGAAGCATCGTTTCGTCCATATTTTGGACAAGTGCAGCATTGAATAGCACAATTTTCACTGGAAATTTTACACTGAATTCACACAAACTGGAAGTGGTATATTATGCTGAGTGGGTGAGTGACACGTCAAGTCAATGCGAACAATTTTATACTGACCATGAATCACACTGAATTTACAATGTACTTACTTACCTACTTGCTCCTGTTACTGCTAATAGAGGATAGGCCGCCGACCAGTATTCTTCAATCCACTCTGTCCTGGGACTTCCTTTCTTGTTCTACTATCTCATACATCATAATTAAGTTACAACTTGGTCTACATTAATAAAGTGTGAAAATATTTAGCTTCTTAAGTCAAACATTACCTGAAGTGTCGTTCCGTGTGAGTCAGATGAATACTTCATTGGTAAAGATATTATTATTAGTCTGGATTCAGTGCCTACATTTGTTGTTACCATTGTCGTGTGAAAGTTCAAACTACTCCATTCGACATTCACAAACGATTTGTATTTACATCTGACCAACATCCTGGTTCATTGATTGGTTGAATGATTGATTGATTGATTGATTGATTGATTGATTGATTGATTGATTGATTGATTGATTGATTGATTGATTGATTGATTGATTGATTGATTGATTGATTGATTGATTGATTGATTGATTGATTGATTGATTGATTGATTGATTGGTTATCCAGACTTGTGTGATGCGTATTGTTTTGTCTTATCAATTGCTTCTAATTTGTCCAGTTGACCATTATTTTTCATAGATTATTGGCTTGACCATTAAGTGTTAGTAGTTCTACTGTGAATGCCATGGGAATTTTCCACAATTAACAATGTTCGTTCAACAATGTGATTTCAGTATAAATGAACCATGAGTTGTATCAGTTAAATATGCTTTTCCTTCCAATGATCGCCTTTGTCTCAGGTTATCGGCAATGTTGTTGTAGTTTTCACCAAACATTTCATTTCAACCCATCATTCTTACCACATTTGTGCTTATCATCCAGAATGTCGTGATGCGCTACACTGAACCCATACATAACAGAAAGTTGACGGCAACTGCAATCTCATCATTTCTCGACTTTGTGCAATATATCGTTTATTCATTACACTTGTCTATTGATTAAAGTGAACACCAGATTGTGTTATGACTTTATAGAGACGGGTTACGGTGTTGAGTTTTGCCGTTGGCCTACGGTGCGTGCGAATTGAACAACGATAGAGTAATTGCAATGTGAACAGTTCTATTGTGGATAGGTTAACGGCAGTTGAGACAAAACCGTTCAATAGTTAGCCACTAGCATAGAGAGGAAACGAAGTGTGGAACAAAAGCGCAATTCGAACAGGATAACTTGAAAACGTACAACTCAGTATATACTGTAACGAAATCACAACATTGAATTGCACGGAAAATGAGCGAATAATAAGAGTGGCAACCAATCAGAAAATAGCAAATGTCATGAGAAAATTTGAATTAGAAAAGGTGTACTCGTGTTCACTGTTACTAGTAAGACTTGAATATTACCAACAGAGAGAGATCAAATAATCCTGTGAATACGTTAGCAGATTGCTGAATCAATTAATTAATTAATTTAATTATTGAAATTCATTTCAAACAGTTTGTTGTCTTCCAACTTGTTCTACATAAATTTAAGCAAAGATCGCTTTAATACATGCACCAACAATGAAAACGAATAACTGAGCGAGAAAATTTGTCGTGAATTACGATACATTTATGTAGTGAAATGATGTTTGTTTAGATCTGCGAATAGATTTGCGCATTTCCGAATTATATAGAATTTTTCTAGTCAAAATTAATTGATTTCTATCAGTAGTTGTAAGACACTTCAATATTTCTTCACTATTCTTGGTTTGTGATATATTTTGTACTTGAACTCTTCTACACAGATTTAATAATTGCTTACCAGACACTCAAAATCTCCTGCTTATGATCTGTGATCATGAAGTTGAAGACATTGAGTACGCAATATGTTTTTATGATAGAACGTATGACTTATTACTGATATTACTACTCTACATTGAGTTTGTTTCCTCCATAGTTATTCTTCCTATCAAAGTGATCAATGTTTGGAATTTGTTAAGATGATCTTGTATTTATCTATTTGTCATTGGATTCAACCACTACAAAGAAGAGAGAGACTGTTCTATATTATGCAAATTAATGAAATGAATGTTCGGAATGCAAGTTGTCATGTTCACATGAATGAGTATGATGATTCAATGATAAGTTTGTGAACAAGTAATTATGAACATAAATATCGGCATTTCAATTCACTCATTAATGCAGTGGAAAATTATTGATCAGTTCATACTGCTGTGTATGTTTCGAAATCTGATCTTGAACCAATTATTTGAATATTGTTTTTGCCATGATATCGAATTAAACTGAATCTTTCAGAAAACTATTAAATGAAAGTAATTGGTCAATCTGTTCGGCACAAAATATGCACAAGAGTTTATTATTGAGTGCATAATGTTAATGACAAAGCTCATTAACCATCAATTGGTCAATACTCACTCATTTAAGAAATTCTACCAATCACCAATGTACACAATGCTCTAAGAAAGAAATCTTCATGAAATTGTTTATTTTTATCATTTGAATCACTTCATTTTCGACCAGTTCACAACATTCGATCTACTGTGTCTGTGATTCATTAATACTATTCAAACTTCAGTCAGTCAGCTACAACGTACCACTTGGCACACATGTGCATCGGTCAAGTTGCCATAGCTCATTAGCACAACAACATGAACACCGAATTCATATAGTTAACACAATATTGGTTATTTATTTACTCTGAGGAAGTGATTTACAATATGTCAAGAAACGTCAAAAATACAATAATCGAATTTATTGGGATACAACAAAAGTACATTTATTCTTAACGATCATCAACATTATTATTATTATTATTATCATTCACATCATGATTCAAATGAGTCCATTTATTCTCTCCTATCTCCGTCACATGTAGTCATCAAGAATTTCAAGTTGACATCAACTCTACACATATATCTAATATGTATCATAAATGAAATATCAATGAAGCAGTTAATTACACAGAAATCACTAGAATAAATACAAATCAAACCAATTGATCATCATGATAAGAAATAAAATTGACAAAGTTCTAACATATTTGTGTTCAAAGTCAAGTATCATCCGTCATCCACACAACCAATGGTCGATCACGTTCATAAATTAATTCAAAGACAAAATAAAATTTTTACAAAACCAACATTTAAATTTAATTATGTACAGTATTCAACAGAGTAGTCAATAGAGTAGTGAACATTTGAAACAGAGCAGTATTGAACAACAGTCCACTTCAAATGGATTCGAAACAAAAGGACTAACTGACAGAAAAATTCACACACGCACACCACGAAACGACAATAATAATGAAAAGGGAGAACAATGTTCGTCAGTCACAATACCTATACATACATATGTATACATTGAATTTACAATTGAATTTACTATCCATATGTGGATAGAATTGATGACAATCACAATGGTAGTTCATGTGAAGATTGGCTTTCACCCAACATTCAGCTTTCCGATAATGAGTTCAGTTTCTCGGACCAATATTGCTTCTTCATCTGGAGAATTTCAATCTTCAGATCTAGGCACTTCATTTGCTTGTGAATCAACATCTCTGACAATGGGGTTCTCTCACATTCGGATCTACAAAAACAAGTCACAGTTTGAACATCTGTTTATAATCACCAGGGCGATGTAGGAGACATGATATACATATGCTTCTATATACATAAAATTCGTCGCATATATCCTAATCATCAAATCTACCACACCATATACACAACTGACAAACACAACTAAATAGGAATTTTCACTCGATACCCTCATATTCAGTAGGCATGCAAACACACACTGACACATCCGACATTAACAACAATAATCAAGATATTGAGTGACGCACAACGTGCGACGAAGACACTTCAGTGAGATGGAACACCATTGAACGTAAGTGAACAGAGTACTGCTTATTTGTCCGTCAGTCTGTCTATCTATTTGTCTATCTATCCATCTACCTCGTCGTGTGGTTCACTCACTGCTTGTGTGAATCAAATCCTACTGCTAAGTCTCGTTCTCACAGAGCTACAGTGACAGTCATGGTCATAAAAATCAGTGCACATTCTCATGATCACACAGCAAGCAGTGTGTAGCAGTCAGTCAGCTAATCAGGAATATGTGGTGCTAGTGGTGAGTGTATAAAAACAACAACAACTACTACTACTACTACTACTACTACAGGAATAACATAAGGTGAAACGTGTCAGTTGAAAAGAGGTGTCCTACTTACGTGATACAATCCTTGGCATTTTCACCGAAATCATTCACCTGATTCGTGTTCGCCTGATTTCGCGTTCCACTCAACTCTGGATAGCTCTCCTCGTCCTCACTACACGTTGATAAATCAATTGATGCAGTCAGAGGAATGCGACTCGTTTGGTTGGATGGTGAGTTCGAGATATTCACTTCTTGAATAGGAGATACGTCTGCAGTATGGGTTTTCGTGACTCCGAACGAGACACATTGGAGAGGAGTCAGTAACGCGACTCGGTTAGTGTTAATCGCCACCTCACCAACCGTGTTGTTGTGGTTGTTGTTGAGGTTGGTGGTGGTTGGTTGCAGCACTAGAGCATCATGTGGAATCACCAGTTGTTGAGACATGTGAGCTGTTGAGAATGCGTTCAAGATTTTTGGACCAGTTGTGTGTGGGGTATTCGGTTGCACATGGTTTGTAGGAGGACTGAGTGTTGATGTGGGATGTTTGGAGGTGATGGTTATCACTGGTGAGGGGGTGAGTGTAGGCAAGTTGATTTGATGCACACTCGACTGGTCCTCGGTCACCTGAATTCGATGAAAACAATTAGCACGTGATTGGGAAAGGCGAACTTACCGAATCACTTTGTCCGTTCACGTTCACGTGTCGATTTTCATTGGAACTGGAGAGTGACGTGTGGTTGGAGTGATTTTCAGGTGAATTTGGATTGCTTTTCGACACCTCCCACTGATTGATTGTCGTGTTATTGAGTTTCTTCAGCACGTGCAGACCCTTTCGACGCAGATGAAACCATTTTCTTCTCGGCCATCCCTTCGAGTGTAGGTAACGTGCAAATTGCATCCATAATTGTTTCTGAAGAACAGCAGATGGACGACTCTTGTCTTTCCAAACATCCCGATATCTCAATACCAATTCGGTTAATTCACTCGACTCCTCAATTGTGTATCGTGTGACTGTGGTCTGTTTCCACCGTGTTGATGGTGGTGGTGGTGGTGGTGGTGGTGGTTGTGGTCTTGATGCACAAGCTAACTTCCGAGCTGTATTGATCATAATCAAGCAACCTGTTTTGTGGTTGTGAAATGAAGATAAATAATATTTTGAATGAGGGTGTGAGACAGACAGGTGACACGTTGAGAATTTTCTACCACCAATCGTATATCCTATACACTGAATTACTATTGGTCGACTGTTTTCAGCTTGTTGGTGTGTGGTGTGTGTGTGTGTGTAGTGTGTAGTGTGTAATGTCAGTTGTGTTTGCTTAGTTGTGTCTGCTTGCTTGTGTCTGCTTGCTTGTGTCTGGTATCTGTATTGTATCTGGTCACTGGTCTGCATGCTTATTTTAACGTGTCTCATGTGTGATTGGTTAGTCAAACATTCGTGATTTTGATCTCGTCAAAATACTCATGCATTCCGATGCGCTTATTCCTCGAACAACATTTCGATGATGAAAGATTAAATTTGAAGACAGATTTAATTTACACCTTATTTTTCTGTCAACTACTAATCATTTGCCCGTTTCAATTCGATAGTTATTGGTAAATCTTACCAGCGATTTGTCTGTATGTTGATTCCACTAATTATTATAATGTAGCAGATACTTCATCTCCGCCTGGAGTCTCTCCGGGGGTTACTGCCGGTCCCAAGCCCGGATAAATTTGGAGGGTTGGGCATGGGGTTAGCGTTCGCATCCCGTAGATGTCAATCCACCAACTACGGAAGAAATTAGAATGGCCGTCAGACAAATCAAGCAGGACCCGACAACTTACCAGCTGAAGCACTGAAATCAGACATCGAAGCAACCACAAACATGCTTTATCTTCTATTCAAAAAGATTTGAGAGGAGGAACAAGTGCCGATGGACTGGAAATAAGGACACCTCGTCAAGATTCCAAAGAAAGGATATCTGAGCAAATGTGAAAACTACAGAGGCATTACACTACTGTCAATACCAGGGAAAGTCTTCAACAGATTGTTGCTGAACCGGATGGAGGATGCTGGATTCCGTAAGGATCGGTCATGCACAGACCGAATTGCAACACTACGGATCATCGTCGAACAATCAGTTGAGTGGAACTCATCGCTATACATCAACTTCATTGAATATGAAAAGGCATTCGACAGTGTAGATAGGAGGACATTATGGAAACTTCTTCGACACTACGGAGTTCCTGAGAAGATTGTCAATATTATCCGGAACTCATACGTCGGACTACAGTGCAAAGTAGTGCATGGAGGACAGCTGACAGATGCATTCCAAGTAAGGACCGGAGTCAGATAAGGCTGTTTACTCTCTCCCTTCCTCTTTCTTCTGGTGGTCGACTTGATTATGAAGACCTCAACATCTGAAAGAAAACACGGAATACAATGAACAGCTCAGAACCAATTAGACGATTTGGACTTCGCAGATGACCTAGCCCTCCTATCACGTACACACGAACAGATGCAGATGAAGACAGCCAGTGTAGCAGCAGTCCCTGCATCAGTAGGCCTCAACATACACAAAGGGAAAACTAAGGTCCTCAAATTCAAAGCGGAGAACAGCAATCCAATCACACTTGATGGCGATACTCTGGAAGATGTAGAGTCCTTCACATACATGGAAGCATCATCGATGAACAAGGAGGCTCAGATGCAGACGTAAAGGCGAGGATCGGCAAAGCAAGGGTCGCATTCCTACAATTGAAGAACATATGGAACTCAAAACAACTGCCAACCAATGTCAACGTCACAATCTTCAATACGAACGTCAAGGTAGTTCTACTGTATGGAGCTGAAACTTCGAGAACTACAACAACCACATTCAAGAAAGTACAAGTATTTATAAATAGCTGTCTACACAAGATACTCAACATCCATTGGCCGGATACCATCAGCAATAGCCTTGTGTGTGAGAGAACAAACCAGCTTCCAGCTGAAGAGGAAATTCGGAAAAGACGATGGAAATGGATAGGATATACATTACGCAAATCGTTAAACTGCATCACGAGGCAAGCCCTAACTTGGAATCCTGAAGGGAAGCGAAAAAGAGGAAGGCCAAAGAACACATTGCGTCGGATAATAGAAGCAGATATGAAAACGATGAATTACAACTGGACGGAGCTAGAAAAGATTGCCCTGGACAGGGTTGTATGGAGAATGCTGGTGAGCGACCTATGCTCCTTCACGAGGAGTAACAGGCGTAAGTAAGTAAGTAAGTAAGCAGAAACTTCAAGCTCAATTATCTATATAAACTACTGATGAGAAGACTTTGCATTGTCGCAAAAGTGTAGCCACTCAGATGAACAGTATGTCAATCTGGAGTATTGGTGGTGATGTTGTTGTTGGTGGTGGTAATGCGTATTGTTGTGAACTCAACCTCCTAACCACTATATTGACACGAGATGAAATTTGTTATTTGAAATGGCGCACATTGATATTGTATGGAACACATGAACAAACAAGTTCCATTTGTGTGCAGCACATGAAATAAAAGTGCAACCAGAAATATGACAAACTGCATACAGAAATACATATAAATTCGAAACGATCAATCAATATATTAGAAAGATCTATTTAACAATCTCGTCTATCTATCTAATGATGAGTTGTGGGACAAGGTTAAATTCACGTGTGTTTGTCACACACTCTACTGGCGTGAGTGTTGTGAATGATAGATTTGGAGGATGGTGGACACATGCGAATCACATTATTTTGTCTATGCAGTAATTCACATTGAACATAATGTTGTTGATGTTGTAGTAGCCTGAAATAATCAATGCATGAATTCCGAGTGAACAACATATCATGCAATTTAATGTTTAGCTGAATAATGAATATGATGTGTGGACGAGATGTTGTACGAAGAATAGAAGCATCACATATTTTGATAATATTAATACTGTGAATGTTTGATTGAACAGTGAAACATGAGACACATGGAGAGGAGAGTTGAAGCGTGTGACTAAGATGAGATTAGTGAACATGATAGTGAGAGTTCGACTGTGTTGTTTCCAGGTCGGATGTGTGCAAATTCTCAACTGAAATCAAGTGAGCTCTGTTTGTAGGATTGAATTTGTCCTACAGATATACTACTAGAACTGTAAACGCGATACTGGCGAGCACAGAGTCTATGTGAGAGCTATGGTCAGAACAAGGACAACTTTGATTTAAACTTTATCCCTTTCTGAACGTAAAAATTATTCAATTAGTACAATAATTGAGGAAATTACAGACATTAGGCGAAACGCACAAACATACCGACCAGTAATGCGTGTCTTATCGAAATGAATAGAAATTATGAGTCACACTAACACTATAGGATAATAATGGTGTTCAATTGGTAGGTCACATGTAACAGGGATAGTTGACAGACACATCAGATCAGATTAACGTTGTAGGAGTTTAAACAACCATTGGATTAGTTCGTTATGAACATAATGAACAGTTTCCACACCTAGCAATTGTTTGTATGACTTCTCTCTTCTCTCTGGTCATCATCAAATTACTTTCAATTTTATTCTTCCATTTTCAAGTCTATTTCAACTAAAACTGTTCAGGTCAAATATCAATGATTAATTCTTATTTTACTGCTGTTCTTACGAAGTCACTAGTTGTAACTGATCATTATTCATTCGTTCACTGCGTTTCAATTGGAAATTGCCTTCGTTGATTTTGGATAAGTATTTCAGCCTCATGTAGTTGATGTGTAGATGTGAATTTCTTGAACACACTGTCATTACATGTTTGTCCCTGTTCAAAGAAATACCAATGTTGTATTTTTTTAATCTGACAGCCTACATTACGGTATTATTGAGGAAGTGACAAAGTAAATCAAGTGTTACGTGTACCACCATTACAATTTGTTACATATTACTTTATTCATGTTCAAATGTAATGAGTTGATTTTCCTATAAATTTTCTCAGATTGTTCAATTTCTTTTCCTGATAAAAACCTCAACAACAACAAGAAAAACAGACTAGTTTTCTATTTATTTTTTCGACAATTTCTATTTAACACAGTTTCGTGATGAATAGATTTCTAAAATGTTCATTTGACTGTGACGGAAAGAAAACGATGAAAATCCCTCTGCAGCTTCTTTGTTGAACAGTATTGTCATTTACTTGTTTCTTCTCCCTGTTGTGTATTTTACCCATGGTTCCGATCTCGTTTAACCATATCTTTTGTTCTTCAGTCTTCCTCGTTTGGGCCTTTATTATGTGATTTTGATTAAAGACATATCTTTTGTTACCTAATTTTCCATTACATGTTGCCGGACCATGGACAGTAAGGTCGTGTTTGACTAAGCTCAAGGTCACAGCGTGGTTCAGTGTGTGATCGTGAACCTTCTGACTGTCTGCTTGGGAGGATTGCTGGTATCCCTAGAGATAGATATTTGATCCCATCTTGTTGGGAATATTTGTATTGATTCTCAGGTATCAAACCCTTTAGTATTGACTGCCTCTTTCATCGTTTAGCTCACTACTTTGCGTTAGAGAAACTTCTGACTGTATAGCACAGGCTGTACCGTTTGAGGTATTTTGTATTTTTGATGTAATTTGTTCTGTTTTCTTAATTAGAACCGTTTATATTGAACACAGAGTTTGTGTTTTGATATAATATAATACGAGTATCTCAAAGACGCGTTGTGAGCTATACAGAGGAACTTGGTCTGGTCTAATCGAATAAATTTAGGGTTCGTCAGTCCGTTGTTCCAACCGAATATTGGCTGTTCGGTCGCTACATCACATTAACGATATAATTCCAGTTGTGCTAAGCTTTGATTAAACATATGTAGTGACTTACTTTTATTACGAGAACATGATTGGTTTAATGAAAACTATTATTAATATAACCAATGCGCTTTTGTTTAACTGTGCTAATTACAGCCATTTTGTGCTTCCACACCTTCCATCATTGTTTCGCGGTTTTTGGCTTTGTTCGCACATACTCCGTTCCCTTGCTTCCGCTTGTACCATTTCTTGGCACGATCTTGATATTCATTCGATACCTCGGAATCGCCAATTAAATAAATTAGGTTCTAATCCGCCTTCTGATTTGTTTGACACGTGTTTTCTTGGTAGCGGTGTTAATAGTCAACTGGGACTCGACGCCACGCTACACATTGTTCAATAACACGAAATATGTTTCTCATTATCTTGTCATTTTATTCAGTAATTCAATGAATAATGAAAAATCAATTTCTTACAAACAACAAACAAACAACAAATTATCGATCGATAATACATAAATCACATAGAAGATGAATGGTGATGAGCGAATAGGACTGACAAGTTTTGATTATTTTATTCTTCTAGTTACCAATATACAATTTGATGTGATCTGCTACAACGAGAATATCGTGTGATCATTTCTATATGTTCACCCTCCCAATCAATCCTACAAAACACTCATACCAATTGAGTGTGTGACAAACACATGTGATGAATTAAACCTTGTTCTCCAATACATCATTAGATATATGGAAGTATTAAATGGATCAAATTGATAGCAGAATAAATTGAAAAACTGTCTGCTTTCGAAAATGACACTGAGCAGATATGTGGTTAACAAGTAGTGAACAAGTAGTGAAAAATAATTGGTATTATAACAGGCAGAGTACAGTAAGTACATCAGCAGTAATGCAAAAATGATTTGTAACTGAATGGATGAAT